GTGTATTTTGGATGAAAATGCGAACTTGATAAATTTGTTACATTCCACACCAGAATTCAATGACGTTTGTTATATTGGATACTTGGGTGGAATTTTCTTAAAACAGTTTTATCTTAAAGGTGGTATTATATATTGGATTTGAGTGGGGTTTTATATTGAAGGTTTTCGTTATATGTTGTTTGTATTTCGGGTTATTCCTTGGGGATTTGGGGTTAGAACCTATGCTGGTCGTAAGAGGCGACCATATACTAGTATATACGTAAGAGGCGACCATATACTAGTATATACGTTGGCGAAGCTCGGTGAATATCATTGACTGCGTGCCTATATACCCGGATGTGGATCCTTGCTCCCAATATCGATCTCTTTATTTTCTATATTGTGGCGTTATACAACCAACCAAATATTTTGGACAGATATGTGGATGGAATACATTATGTACCCGGGATGAGACCGCATATAGTCTTGAAAGACGGGATAAAATTAGAATTTAAAAGTGGATGCCAGATTTGATGACCAACAGGGGGGGCGGTGGGGTAGCCAAGTGGTTAAAGCGTTCGCTCGTCACACCGAAGGCCCGGGTTCGATTCCCCACATGGGTACAACTTGTGAAGCCCATTTCTGGTGTCCCCCGCCGTGATATTGCTGGAATATTGCTAAAAACGGCGTAAAACCATACCCAGCCAGCCAACAGGGTTAGTTTATATTGCGCAAGGGTAAATCTATGAACAATCAGGGCAACCCGAGGACCGCAGATCGCTGGCCCAAGGGAGGTAACCCTGCCCACGCATAATTTGTAATCAACTATTGGTCACAGCAGGGTATACCAACTGCGAGGATTTGGGGGCGGTCCATTAACTGATTAACACAAACTGTTTATCAGGTGCTTTCTCCCAGTCATAGACACAGTCATATGGCGTGAGTGACAGAGGATGGGGAACAGCTGGTAATCTGTTCCAGCACCTAGTATGTTCTGTTGTCAGGGAACTAATGAACAACACTGATTGCTCTTTGTAATCCGACCATCAACAAATGTAGACAGATGGTGGTGTGTCACATTATGTCTATACACCTGTAGTTGCCGATCAGTTCTACCTGTGCTATTGTATTGTCCCACACCGCCTTCGCGAATATGAGTGAGTGAGTGAGTGGTGGTGAGTGGGTGGATGAGTGAGTGAGTTTTGAAATCCCCTTTAGCAAAATAAGAGTGAGTGAGTTTAGTTTTATGCCGCACTCAGCAATATTCCAGCTATATGGCGGCGGTCTGTAAATATTTGAGTTTGGGCCAGACACTCCAGTGATCAACAGCATGAGCATCGATATGCGCAATTGGGAACCGATGACATATGTCAACCAAGTCAGCAAGCCTGACCACACTATCCCGTTAGTTGCCTTTTACGACAAGCATGGGTTACTGAAGATCAATATTCTAACCCGGATCTTCACTGGTAACAAAATAAGAGTGAATATGGTTTAAAATATCTGACAGCAATATATGAACTCGTCGGTTAGTGAGTGAGTGAGTGAGAGTATGGTTAAATCCCTGTCAGTAAGGTATACGTGAGTGGGAGAGAGTGAGTGAGTATGGTTTAAATCCGTCAGTAGGGTATGAGTGAGTGAGTGAGTGAGAGTATGGTTTAAATCCCTGTCAGTAAGGTATGAATGAGTGAGTGAGTGAGAGCATGGTTTAAATCCCTGTCAGTAAGGTATGAGTGAGTGAGTGAGAGTATGGTTTAAATTCCAAAAGTAAGGTATGAATGAATGAGTGAATGAGTGAGTGAGTGAGTAAATGAGCGAGTGAGAGTATGGTTTAAATCCCTGTCAGTAAGTTATGAGTGAGTGAGTGAGTGAGAGTATGGTTAAATCCCTGTCAGTAAGGTATGAGTGAGTGAGAGTGTATGGTTTAAATCCCTGTCAGTAAGGTATGAATGAGTGAGTGAGTGAGAGTATTGTTTAAGTCCCTGTCAGTAAGGTATGAGTGAGTGAGTGAGTGAGTGAGAGTATGATTTAAATCCTTGTCAGTAAGGTATGAGTGAGTGAGTGAGTGAGAGTATGGTTTAAATCCCTGTCAGTAAGGTAAGGTATGAGTGAGTGAGAGAGAGAGTATGGTTTAAATCCCTCAGTAAGGTATGAGTGAGTGAGTGAGAGTATGGTTTAAATCCTTGTCAGTAAGGTATGAGTGAGTGAGTAAGTGAGTGAGAGTATGGTTTAAATCCCTGTCAGTAAGGTATGAGTGAGAGAGAGTATGGTTTAAATCCCTGTCAGCAAGGTATGAGTGAGTTGTGTGAGTGAGTGAGTGAGAGTATGGTTTAAATCCTTGTCAGTAAGGTATGAGTGAGTGAGAGAGAGTATGGTTTAAATCCCTGTCGGTAAGGTATGTGTGAGTGAGTAAATGAGTGAGTGAGAGTATGGTTTAAATCCCTGTCAGTAAGGTATGAGTGAGTGAGTGAGATTATGGTTTAAATCCCTGTCTGTAAGGTATGAGTGAGTGAGAGTATGGTTTAAATCCCTGTCAGTAAGGTATGAGTGAGTGAGTAAATGAGTGAGTGAGAGTATGGTTTAAATCCCTGTCAGTAAGGTATGAGTGAGTGAGTGAGATTATGGTTTAAATCCTGTGTCAGTAAGTTATGAGTGAGTGGAAGAGTGAGTGAGTAAGAGAGTGAGTATGGTTTAACGTCTCTACTGGCGTTATATGAGTGAGTGAGTATCGTTTAACCCCCTTTCAGCAAATATACTCATGCCAATAATGGTTGTCACCCCTTCAATTTTTTTAATTAGAGAGGAGGTGTGGGGTAGGGGTGTGAGGTGTGAGGTGTGAGGTGTGTGGGGTTAGGGTGGGAAGGGGGTGACAGCCATTATTGGCATGAGTATATGAGCGGGTGAGTGAGTGAGTGTATGAGTGGGTATTGCTTAACGCCCTCTTAAGCAATATGCCAGCAACATCTCTGCGGTGGACATCAGAAATGGGCATCACACATTGTACCCATGATGGGACTCGAACCCGGGTCTTCGGCGGGACGAACGAACGCTTTAATTATAAATTCTAGGCTACCACATCGCCCTTGTTGAATGTTTAACACCGATGACCTGTTTAAGACTGTGTTAGCAATATGAGGAACATTTCATCAGGTCAGTCAGGTCACTTTAAACACAAAAACTTTGGGCGTCTTTATCAAAGAAACCATTTAGTGTTACATACTTAATATCTGATGAACTGTAATTTCAAAATGACACATGCATTGCAATGTCTTTATTTGGACACCTGACCTTATTCCAACCTCGTTAAAATCCGATATAGGAGGCTTTACGATCTAAACTCGGAGAGGTATCAAACTCGGAGAGGTATCAAATCTTGTTGTAATGAATACATATCGTGAATGATCCTTTGTGGATAGAAGAGCCTGATTGATGAAATCCATATACCAACATTCTAGTGAACACAAGACCCTTATGTATATTCTGGATATAAAGTCAACAAATTAATTATGTGTAGTTTTATTTCGGATGTAACTTTGTATAACTTCATCTTTCAAGCCTATTAGAACCGAGATCACACAAACCTGATGAAACATACATGTGATTATGTTTTTACACTTTTACACACCAAGCCATGTTGTTTTCTGGTGTTATCAAAGGAAGGACTTCTCAGTGCACACACACACATCATTCTGCTGTCTGACAGCTAATATAGACGAAGAATTGAGGACTCGGATATTGTTTGACATGACATGACATACACATGACACGATTTGACACGACATGCGCATTTCCCGGCCTGGCATGACGCGACAGCATGACGTGCACGTGTGAAACGATACATGACATAACGTACACATATATATCACATGCCACGACCTTACACGACGTGCACTGTCATGCGTCACGACCAGAACATGACACACTTATGGCTCATGTCTGATCTCACTTGACATGTCATATGGCATGACTCCTGATCTCTGAGTTGTCTGGTCCAGATTCGATTATTTACAGATTGCCGCCATATAGCTGGAATATAGCTGACTATAAATAAGAAGCAAACAAAAACAAACTAACGCTTTGACCAATATACTAGGCCAAGAATTCCACGGCTGAGGTCATCGATCTACATCAGTAGATCAGCTCATGTTATAGATTGGATAATGGTAGGTAAAGCTGATAAAGCTGGAACATTGCTGACAGTGGCGCAAAACAACATTCATTCACTCACTCAAGACACAATCAGTTAAATATATACATCATGGCGTGATGTACGTCAATGGTACGTCATATCTTGTCGCCACAGTCGTATGCCACTTTACCTGAAGAATCGCAAACCGCACCCCTTTCAGCACCTTAAATACTCACACACATTTTCGCATGAATTACAAACAAATATTCTAACATGTTCTAAACAGTTTTGACAAAACGCACTACATTAGGGTACCGCCTCCGTGGTGTAGTGGTTAGAGCATCCGCCCGGAGAGCGGAAGGTCGCGGGTTCGATCCCCGACCGCGTCATACCAAAAAACGTTAAAATATGGTACTTGTTGGTCCCAGCATGGCGCTCGGCATTAATGGGTACAACAAGGACTGGTCGGCGTTGAGTCAGTATAATGTGTCTGAGTGGGGTATTCATGCTTCACTGCGGCATGGTATCTCAGTGGGCTAGCACTATAAAACCAGCTTCAGTCTGGGCTAGTACAAGAAGCCGCACATACACATACACACACATGCACGTCGTCATATGAGCGAAATATTCTCAAACACGACGTTAAACCCAATTTCACCTCACCTCACCGCACTACATGAGGAATGCAATAACGTTTTCTGGTTCTTTAGTTCTAAAGACCTTTGGTCAGTCGAAACAATAATGATTTCAGAATGAATGTTTCATCGTCAGAACAGGACAATTTTGCAGTTCATTTTATATCACATAAGGTGATTTCCGACGTGCACCGATTCTAAACCTCACGACGCGAATCAAATATCGCTGCTGATAGCGATACAATGAAGGTAACGAGTTTTGCCAACACCATCTTCAATATAAAGTCAGGGTTCATTTTACAAAAGTGCCCCTGAATGTTTTTCGATGAATCGTTACAGTTACCACCGTTCCGTCAATGCCTCCCGTACCACCCTGTTGGACCACCTAACAAATCAGAATCATACAATATAAAATTTTCAGAAACCTTTGAGAATGAATTTTGCAAAACGCTCAACACATCGCTTTCTATTTTTCGAAAGTATTTCTTTGGTGTGTAGCCGTCACGGACGGAACGACATATTGTAACAAGCTTTGGGGAGAACATCCTCCCATCTAGAATAGTCTCCATATTCTCTGTCCGCTCATCTATCTCCTCTACATCCGGGGTATGGAATACCACCATCGTTTCGTTAGGGCGGTTGTAACCGTCACACAGACGCATGTTGTCCCTGGGGATGAACTCGAGTGTTTTTGGAGACATACTGAGGCAGACCCCCACTTGGGACAAGGCACGGAGCTGATCCGCCGTGAAGGTAACGAGTTTTGACAACACCATCTTCAATATAAACCCAGGGTTCTGTTTACAAAAGTGCCCCTGAATTCGTCCTTGAAGATCTTTGAGCATCGCTGGAACTTGACGCCAAAACGCTGATCGTGCTTCGCTAACGTTGCATCTGTCGCGTAGGATTACCCCCGACTGACATAGATGTTTGAATTCTATGATAGACTCGAGGACGGAATGGAAGAAGTTGTCTACCGTCCTCTCGTCTGCTGTACCTTGCGCGCAGACGAGAAGTTGTATCCACATGCTGATGTCTCTGATGTCGGTTTCTTGCAGTCCGGAGTTGTAAAGTGGCATAACCGCCGCCTCGCATCCATAGTAGTCCTCGTCAATGTCCAGGATGACGTTGTCATTGTGAGTGAGCCATTTGCCAGACTTCATTAACAATATTGCTTTCCGCTCACTAACAATCTCAATGACCCCTGACGTCCTGAACGTACAGGCCGACTCCTCTATGGGGATCCCGCTCTCGTCGTCTGATCCTTCGGTGATGTTGTTCATGACGCAGTACTTCTCCTTTATTATCGGCCCTGTGGATACGCATGCGCAGAGTTCCTTCACCTTGTTGCCGTTGACGTGTTTGTAAGTGGTGCCCGCCCTGACGTCCATGCGCTGGTAGTCAACCTGGTCGGGGTGTTCGCCATCATTGGTGTCCCAGGGTGGCCACACCCATATGTAACGGGTGATGAGTCCTGTCATGGCTGCAGCCTGTCAACACAAGAACAACAGCCCACTTTACACCCCGCTGGTTGCAGATCAAAGTCATCTTTACACACTGTCAACACAAGAACAACAACCCGCTTTACACCCCGCTGGTTGCAGATCAAAGTCATCTTTACACACTGTCAACATAAGAACAACAACCCACTTTACACCCCGCTGGTTGCAGATCAAAGTCATCTTTACACACTGTCAACACAAGAACAACAACCCACTTTACACCCCGCTGGTTGCAGATCAAAGTCATCTTTACACACTGTCAACACAAGGATAACAGCCCACTTACACACCCCGCTGGTTGCAGATCAAAGTCATCTTTACACACTGTCAACACAAGAACAACAGCCCACTTTTACACCCCGCTGGTTGCAGATCAAAGTCATCTTTACACACTGTCAACACAAGAACAACAGCCCACTTTACACCCCGCTGGTTGCAGATCAAAGTCATCTTTACACACTGTCAACACAAGAACAACAGCCCACTTTACACCCCCGCTGGTTGCAGATCAAAGTCATCTTTACACACTGTCAACACAAGGATAACAGCACACTTTACACCCCGCTGGTTGCAGATCAAAGTCATCTTTACACACTGTCAACACAAGAACAACAGCCCACTTTACACCCCGCTGGTTGCAGATCAAAGTCATCTTTACACACTGTCAACACAAGAACAACAGCCCACTTTACACCCCGCTGGTTGCAGATCAAAGTCATCTTTACACACTGTCAACACAAGAACAACAGCCCACTTTACACCCCGCTGGTTGCAGATCAAAGTCATCTTTACACACTGTCAACACAAGAACAACAGCCCACTTTACACCCCGCTGGTTGCAGATCAAAGTCATCTTTACACACTGTCAACACAAGAACAACAGCCCACTTTACACCCCGCTGGTTGCAGATCAAAGTCATCTTTACACACTGTCAACACAAGAACAACAGCCCGCTTTACACCCCGCTGGTTGCAGATCAAAGTCATCTTTACACACTGTCAACACAAGAACAACAGCCCACTTTACACCCCGCTGGTTGCAGATCAAAGTCATATTTACACACATTGAACATGGGTTCAAGATTAAGGCCATATTTACACACATTGATGATTGGAGATCAAGGTCATATTTACACACATTGATGATTGGAGATCAAGGACACATTTACACACATTGATAATTAGTTTCAGCTACTCAGTGGAAGCCACTTTGATCATGAGTTTCAGATCAAGGTCATATTTACACATCTTGGTGATTTGGTTTCAAATCAATGCCATATTTACACACATTGATAATTAGATTTAGTACCCACTGAAGGTCATATATACACACAGTTATCATGGGTTCCAGATTAAGGTGATATTTACACACATTGATATTCGGTTTCAGATCAAGGCCACATTTACGCATATTGATCATTAGTTTAAGACCAGGGTCATATTTACACACATTGATAATGAGCTTCACGCCGCCCACTGATTTTCTAACAGGGCCATTTGAACATACACCACCTACCGATTTCCTGACAAGGCAATAGAACAAAAGCCGCCCTCTGATTTCTTACTAAGGTCGTTTTAACGTACACCGTCCAGTGGTTTCCTAGCAAGGTTATTACAGGCAGTTACCGATGACACCAGGTGTTTGCGGAAAGAGTAAACAGATTCCATTACTACACGTATTAGAGGCATTGACTGAATCCACATGCGACCCTGTATAATGTCTATAAAATCAACGCCAGACAATTACTACCCCCATTATCCAACGAAACAGATTTCATGATTCGTTATTGGCAATCTAGCGATGAAAATTATATTTTAAAATCGGTTATGCCAACAGGTGTTTGCGAAGAGGATAACCCTTAGATCTTGCTTTGTACAACAGCTGATAATTCCTTTTCTAAAAGATAACCGTCAGTAAAACATATGTCTATAAATAACTGTCGAGATTACTGTCGTCTAGGAAGCGGACACGTATCTTTGCTCCTTTTCTTACTTCTTTATTGAGATTATTTCAGACACTAGATGTTAGTTTTAGTGCGATTGTATCTCCTGGTGAAGAGCGTTGAAGAGTTCTGAGGAATCCATGACGTTTTATTATAGTCAAGTCTACCCATACTGTGTTTGCCAGCTCTTATTCTATCGTAAACACCAGCCCGCAGGCCCTGATCAACATGTTGAACACATCAGCACACGTAGCACTGATTTCCTTTAAAGGACATATAACTAATTACACTTTTACACAGATATCTAATATATGACACTGATAAGACTGATTAGACTGACTATTACTGATTATCCTTATATATGTTACAGTCCAGTCCAAACCAGTCCAAACCAGTCGGACCGCCTCCGTGGTGTGGTGGTTAGAGCGTCCGTCCGGAGAGCGGAAGGTCGCGGGTTTGATCCCCGACCGCGTCATACCAAAAGACGTTAAAATATGGTACTTGTTGGTCCCTGCCTGGCGCTCGGTATTAATGGGTACAACAAGGACTGGTGGGCTCGGCGTCAGTATAATGTGTCTGAGTGGGGTATTCATGCTTCACTGCGGCATGGTATCTCAGTCGGCTAGCACTATAAAACCAGCTAAAATCTGGGCTAGTACAAGCAGCCGCACATACACATACACACGCATGCACGTCGTCATATGAGCGAAATATTCTCAAGCACGACGTTAAACCAACTTTCACCTCACCTTTTCACCAAACCAGTCATTTGGTTAAATGACTGTAGCGATCAGTCATTTGGTCAAAAGACTAAAATTCTCAGTCATTTGGTCAAATGGTTTGACAGATTGCCTGCAGAGCTACAGATAACCTTTTGGGTCATTGAGTTATGTACTCGCTTGTCTTCATCTCAATTGGGTATCCTAATTTTCCTTTGAGGAACCATATAAATACTCACCTCACTCAAACTAAATTTGGTATTTTGCCATTTTCCATTAATTTTAAAAATATAATAAAGTTAAATGTTAGTGTTTGTGATTTACATTTGATCTGTAATATGAGAAACGATGAGAAAGACTGCAAGTTGTCATGTTCATGTTCTCAAATAGAACCTCTAAAAATACTTCAGTAATTGTATCTATCCACCGGTACGCAAGCTACGATTTGTCATTTTTGTGTGTACGCGTCTGATTTCGTCATTTCGTCAATTATTGAGTATTTACAAAACTTCAAGCGTACTTGTACGCAATAGACTTAATAGAAATTGAGTTTTCATATAAATATTTGTGTAATTTAAGCAGATACACAGCTCATCTGTACCTCTGTCAAACTGTAACATATACACATAGCACCTGAAACATCAAACCGTCTTCGGAACAAGGCCATAGTACCCTCTTATACAAATAACATCTCAAACATGACACTGACGTCCTAAATATGCCATATTACCGGTTACCATATATACATACATCGTGCACATGATCCGTACTTCCTAATAAGGCCATTATACTAATTACTATTTTATACACCTCGCGTCTCAAACATTATACTGAATCTTGAAAAAGACCGGGTTACTGATTACTGTTTACTATGCACATAACGTCTCTGAATCAAACATGACGCTGATTGCCAGACTGGAAATAAGACCTAGATCCCATCCTCGATAACCCAGGGAATTAAGCCTCCAATCAACTACTCTGGACACATTCACCACCATTAACTTCATTTGGAGTGAGTGAGTTTAGTCTTACGCCGCTTTTAGCAATATTCCAGCAATATCACGGTGGGGGGCAACAAAAATGGGCTTCACACTTTGTAGCCATGTGGGAAATCGAACCCGTGTCTTCGGCGTGACGAGCGAACGCTTTAACCACTAGGCTACCCCATCGCCCCCAACTTCATTTTGAAATGACGTAACTATCACCACCGGAGGACATTTGTGTATGGCGTTAAGTTCGAAAACGAAGTCATGTTACCAAACGGGTTCAGCGCATTTAGCAAAATAGAATGGACACATAATTCACTCTATAATCAAGGATAAAGAGATCGCGAAGCACACTGAGTCGTGTATGGTGTCATGTATTTTGTCATCCATGCTGCTATCGAGGTATATTAATGTATGAGACTTTCCTTATTGGACGAGAATCGCGTTTGCTGACCTTCCATGACTTATTCTTTGTAAACCGTTTAACAGTCCACACATTTTGGGTTTCAAGATGAAATAAATGTACACCCACTGCTCATCTCTGATCTCTCACGTAAAATTCCTACGTGAGTGAGTTTATGTTTATGCCGCGTTTAGCAGTATTCCAGCAGTATTACGACTGGGGACACTAAAATGGGCTGCACACATTGTACCCTTGTGAAGAATCGAACCCGGCATGACGAACGAACGCTTTAACCACTAAGCTACACCACTGCCACTTAAAATTCCTGAGGATTTTCCATAGCGCAAATGCTGTTGTGAATTGGGATTTATGTCGCTTTAAACAATATTCCTGTTATATCATGGCATGTTAACTTAATGTAGGAGGAACTATAAAAGCAATGGAGGCCACCCGGGACGGGTGGGTAAAGAGTTGGACCCGGGTACCCGTCTCAATAACGATATGATCATGTGACTAATAGATTAAACAATGCAATATGTTATAATTTCATGATTAAAAGGTTGTATTGTCTTTGAATATGTAGACATAATTACAGTCACTCCTTTTGAATATAATACATGGTTAAGATATTGAAAAACACGAAATTTTAGCCTCCGAGCTGAAGACTATATTCTTACAAATTTGATGTCAGGAATTAACATAACGGGTATCCGGGTAGGGTAGGGTAATAGGGGTGGGGTACCCGGGTAGATTTGGACCCGTCCCAGCCCTAGTGAACACGGTTGGTTGTCTTTGTCAGAGAGATATTCCAATTGTCAGAGAGATATTCCAATTGTCAGAGAGATATTCCAATTGTCAGAGCGATATTCCAATTGTCCTTCTGGATCTAGTGTACAGAGCGCCTGATTTCGTCATTGGTTTGATCCCTCGTAGCGCCATAGAGAAAGACCTTAATAGGTGGTATTTGTTATTTCCCTGCCTGGCGTTTTGTTTTAAGGGGTAAGGCAGAGCCTGTGTCAATATACTTTGTCTAGATGGCGTATCAATCTGTAACATGATATTTCCGTTGGCTTTCAAACTACAAGTACAAGCAGCCAAGCTTCAATTTATATGTTCGTTATAAGGCCACCAGCAAGGACATTTTATACCTTGATGCGGACAGTGTGATAAGTGCTGTTCAGCAAGAACATTGTTTACCAATCATCATTAATGCAATCACGGGTAATGTTTCCCATTATTAATGCGACGAAGGCGACATAAACAGACATATTTGTGCGATGACTGGTGTTATAATGATGATAAGCAACCGTATTTCGACTTAATGCTTAAAAGGAGTGAGTGAGTGAGTTAAAATTTAAAGTCACTTTGGCAATATTTCAGCCATATCGTGACTAAAACAAGTTATAGATGAACAATAAGTAATGATAGATTATAAAATCCTGTCAACAAAGGACAGTAAAATAACTAGAACATCACAGATATAAATGTAAAACTAATAATTGAATCTAAAACATTTTTACTATAGAGGACAACACAATATAAAAATAGGCTATAGATCGCCAACAACTTATCTTAAAAGGAACTCCCAAATAAGGATTATATGACCAAAATATCGCAAACACTGCAACATATGGCCCCCCAAACAACTATGACATCCGTGTAAAATGCATCACTACTGAATGAAAAACGCTTGTTTGTTACATTCCTAGACTCTACCAAACATTGGTGAATGCGTTCGTTTGTCAGGCAGTTTACTTGCGTTTGCGTGTGTGGATGTACGTAAGCGTGTGCGCGTGCGTGTGTGTGCGTTTGCGTATGCATATGTACGTGTGCGACGGTAACGACGTTTAATACTTACGACCATGAAGACGTCATTCTGTTGCATCATGTTAGTGATCTCCTCGCTGGTCCTGGGATGGCGGAAGAGCGGGATGATTTTCCACTCGAACGGAGTAGCGCCATCGGAGTGCCCGTCGATGTGCAGCTGCAATAAAATGTCAGGAACTCTATGGATGGCCTCTTGCATGGTCTTAGATCAATACTGATCCTTACATACATATCCTTTCAAGATACAGCACCCGTGAAGATCCGCGTTAGATAATCTTCAGTAACCCATGCTTGTCATAAGAGGCGACTAACGGGATCTGGTGGTCAGGTTCCCTGACTTGGTTGACACATGTCATCGTATCCCAGATCGATGCTCATGCTGTTGATCATTGGACTGTCTGGTCCAGACTCGATGGTTTACACACCGCCGCCATATAGCTGGAATATTGCTGAGTGCGGCGTAAAACTAACCTCACTCAGTAACTGTAGACACAGCTCATGGCGAAGATACATCGTGTGTGTCGTGTTTGTATACTTAAATGTAACTCAGCGCATCTGGCAAAGCTTTATTTCTGGTTAACGCCACACATAACATAATATGTGAATAACGGACACGACTTGACTAGACAATCGAGTGATCGATATTATGAGCAACGATGAGCTGTGTGGACACAGTATCAATTAAGTCACCGAACCAAGCACTAGAATTATCAAGTGGCCTCTTGCGACCAAAACATGCTGCTGGGGACCTTTACTAAACCTGAATGTCTTGGGATCTGGAAGAATTTTGTAAAGGACGGTGTCTGATAAGGAAACCTCTTTACCGACAAGATCTGCATAATAACGGAAGAATGAAATGATGGTGTTGTTGATTTTCATAACAATCTTTCCAGGAAGAATATACACAAATTATGAATTTGACGTTTCCAGTGCTTCATGGATAGCTTCATGTACTGGCATACCTACCTATGAAATGATTGAGGTCAATGGCATCGAATGACAGTAACAGTGAGTGAGTGAGTGAGTATGGTTTTACGCCGTCTTTAGCGATGCTCCAGCAATATCACGGCAGGGGACACCAGAAATGGGCTTCACACATTGCATCCATGTGGGGAATCGAGCCCCATGCCTTCGGCGTGACGAGCGAACGCTTTAACCACTAAGCTACATCACCGCCCTCCAAGGAAAGCGATTGGTAGTCTAGTGTTTAAGGCGCCCGCTGGTTCAGCCAAAGAGCAGGTTTCGATTGCCAACCATATTTAAACTGTGTGGTTCTATATTAAACGTTGTAAATCATCCGCCATCATATTGCTGAATACTGCTAAACAGTGAAACAGTATTGACACTGTTGACTAAGAATCTGTAGACGATGACGTAAGTACTCACCACAACGTTGCCCCCTTTCGGTATGAGCCCTTTGTCAGCCGCATTGTACCAGTACTTCAACACTGAGAAGAGAACACTTGGAAATTAGGTACATTATGTTTAGTAAATACAAAACATCAACGCCAGAAAACAACCAGCCTTAACAGAAACAGTCTCCTCTGGCTTTAAAAACCCAACGACAACAGGTGCCAGCGAGAAGTGCACGACACCAACAGATTTTGTCTCAAGACTCGATTAAGAAAATAATCATAAATGCATGTCATAATTATTGTCGTAATCATATTTATTGACCACATGACGCTGCGCGCGTGTGTGCGTGAGTGCGTGTGCGTGTGTGCGTGTGTGCGTGCGCGTGTGTGTGCTGATCATTCAAAATTATTTCCATAATAATCAGAAACGCCCACAAGCAGAGTTTATTCTACTGTTCCGACAATGCCGTAAGCGCATGGTTATCAAGCTCTATCAAACTGTGATGATATCTGGCGTTTACGACAAGGTGATTGTATCCTGTCCCAGCGGCGACATCTGTCATTATCAAAAGCAATTATTCACCTAACACTACACAGAAAAAAATGGCATAGGACAAAACAAGGAATTGCACCGGACACAATTGGAGTCAGTGATGATTTAAAATCGAATATATTTCCTCGAAACCCATAAAACCCACATACCCCATAAAACTTGTTGAAAGCTTTACAAAACTTTATTGAATACTGTTTAAACTTATTTTAGACACTGATGGGCAAGACAACCTATTGATGGGCCAGATAGTCCACCGATGGGCAAGACAACCCAGTGAAGGGCCAGATAGTCCACCGATGGACAAGACAACCCAGTGAAGGGTCAGATAGTCCACTGATGGACAAGACAAACAAGTAATGGGTCAGATAATCCATTGATGGACAAGACAACAAACTGAAGGGACAGATAATAAATTGATGGACAAGACAACCCAGTGAAGGGCCACATAATAAACTGATGGACAAGACAACCTAGTGAAGGGCCAGATAATAAATTGATGGATAAGACAACAAACTGAAGGGCGAGATAATAAATTGATGTACAAGACAACCCAGTGAAGGGCCAGATAATACACTGATGTACAAGACAACCCAGTGAAGGGCCAGATAGTAAACTGATAGACAAGACAACCCAGTGAAGGGCCAGATGATAAACTGATGGACAAGACAACCTAGTGAAGGGCCAGATAATCCACTGATGGACAAGACAACCCAGTGAAGGGCCAGATAATAAACTGATGGACAAGACAACTTAGTGAAGGGCCAGATAATAAACTGATGGACAAGACAACCCAGTGAAGGGCCAGATAATCCACTGATGTGCAAGACAACCGAAGTGATGTGTCAGATAATCCATTGATGGACAAGACAAACCAGTGATGAGCATGATAATACATTGAGCCCGATTATCCACTGATGGACGAGACAACCAAGTGATGGGTCAGATTATCAACTGAGTGACACGAGAACCCTTTGATAAAACCCACATACCCCATAAAACTTGTTGAAAGCTTTACAAAACTTTATTGAATACTGTTTAAACTTATTTTAGACACTGATGGGCAAGACAACCTATTGATGGGCCAGATAGTCCACCGATGGGCAAGACAACCCAGTGAAGGGCCAGATAGTCCACCGATGGACAAGACAACCAAGTGAAGGGTCCGATAGTCCACTGATGGACAAGACAACAAACTGAAGGGCCAGATAATAAATTGATGGACAAGACAACATAGTAATGGGCCAGATAATCCACTGATGGGTCATACAACCAAGTGATGGGCCCGATTATGCATTGATGGACAAGGCAACTCAGTGATGGTCACGACAAACCAATCCAGATGACCATATCATGAACCAGCATGCACTATATGGAAGTGAATCAGAAGTTCATTACATGGACCGTGATATCTTGCTACTAATACATGTTCGGCAGATGCAGAATTCTGCAATCCGATTCCCATAGCAACCAGACTTTCATTGCCAGATTCTGATTCCACTAGCCGCAGTGGCAGGTATATTTGCGCCAGCTGACTCTACATGTAGAACATTCAAGGATCAGTTACAATAGATTGAGTCGCGGTCTCCATGGGTAGTTATCTTCTAGTTGTCACAGTATGGTCGAATTGCAAATACAGTTGTATTTGTCTCCTCTGAGCGTTATATTCAAATTATGGTAATATTACAATAATATTTAGCAATTCATTTCTGCTTTGAGTGGGATCTGGGTGCTATCTTCACAGCTAAAGATAAACCAAATGCCTCATTTCCAGACAGATTACTTTAATGAAACGCCATGTAACTGGAGGCAAAATGATGATGGCTGTTGATGCTGTTATCTTTCAAAGACATTTCCTCGGGGATGATTATGTTCATCCAGGTTTAACGTTACATAGTAGGTGTAACTATCACAGAAACATAGGTGTCTTGCTCATATCTAATACATAGCTCTGTGAAATATTGGTAACATCAAGAGGATAGATTTGTGATATAAAGAATCTCACCCAAATGTCTACTGATATCAATTATATCAACGCGAGTTGATAACGTTACAAATATCCGAGGCTCGCCGAGGATATTTTTACTTGTATCAACGAGTGTTGATATAATTGATATAAGTAGACACGAGGGTGAGATTCTATTTGTCACCAAAAATCAGTTTGTTTTTCATTAGTTTTCAGTGAAAAATGTGCATCTCTCAACACGGTACTGTCATTAGACTTGTTATAGCTTTGTGACGTCATCAGGTTTATGACGCCATATCATTGTGAGTCATGTAATTGATGATGTTAGGCCACTGTACGAAATCTGCTGTCAAAACGATATCTCCTAGGAGATGTCGTTTGATCTCACACAAGCAATATTTAAGATAAGATAATTCTTTATTGTCCCAAGGGAAATTTGTTTTGCATCATACGTTCTCCAGTTTTCCTTTCATAAAGCAGCCATACATAACATTGCAATTGGTAATCATAAAATAATCAGGATATAAATACATCAATCTAGTACACAAACATAGATATTGAATAGAATTTGGACAATTAAAAGTCATTCACTGAATTTGTTGTTAATGCATCTAATACTAGCTGGAACAAATGAGTGGCGAACCCTGTTTTTCTAAAAGTCGGCATACGCAGCCTTCCAGAAGGTAATGATGAATATTCCGAAAAGAGTATGTGAGTAGGGATCACTTAAAATTTTGTTTGCCTTTTTTTAAATTTGCTGCTCATAAGAACTGCCGATACTTTCGATAGGAAGCCCAATACTGTTAGACGCAGTGGTTACGATTTTTGAGAGTTTGTTTTTATTCTGAACAGACCGGTTAAAGGTTATGACACTTTGAATAAAGGTTTTGTAAAATAACATCATGATAGTTTGGTCGATTTTAAAATGTTTCAACTTCCACAAAAAATTGTTGTTGTCCTTTTTTATATATTTTCTCAGTGTTTTCCTTCCAGGAGAGTTTCGAATCTAAGACAGTACCCAAATATTTGTATTCAGTTACTTTTTCGATTTCATTATCTTCAATATTTACCACATTTATTGTTGACTTAGCTTTTGTAAAATCTATGATCATTTCTTTGTATTTTTGCACATTCAAAAATAAAACGTTTGATTTACACCATTCTACAAATTTTGAAATTTCAGCACTGTAACTAAGTTCTGATTCCCTAATAAGGCCTGCCAATGCACCATCATCCGCGAATTTGACTGTAAAACATGTTTCTGTGTTGGATACACAGTCATTGGTGTACAATATAAACAAAATTTGTGAAATAACGCAACCTTGTGGAGCGCCAGTTGATGTGTTTACAATTGATGATTTCACATTATTAACCTGTATCAATTGTTGTCTGGTAACTAGAAATGAATTAATCCATTTGATGATGTTAGAATTAACATTCATTTTGAAAAGTTTATCAATTAACAAAATTAATGAGGTTGAATAGTATTAAAGGCAGATGAAAAGTCAACAAACATTATTCTCACATAAGTACCATAGTTTTCTAAATGCTTATAGACATTGTTTAACGGAGTGATTGTTGCATCATCTACCCCACGCCTTGTTCTGTATGCAAATTGTAATGGGTCAAGAACATGGCTGACTTCCTTCAACAATGAGATCTTAACAATACGTTCCAAACATTTCATGGCAATAGGGGCCACTGGTCTGAAGTCATTATTAACAGAGAGACTTTTCTTTTTTGGCAATGGAATAATTTTAGAGGTTTTCCAAAGAATGGGAACACTATGAGAATTAGTTGATGTCTGAAATAGCTTTTGAAATAAGCTAACTTTTTATAATAGATATTTTGCGAAAAGGGTCCAATATAATGCCAGATGCTTTGAATATACTGGCATTTATCTACCTTCATGTAAAATACTTTAATTTCATTGGTCAATGACGCTTTAACAAGCTTCCGTGTCACCCCTCCCAGGAGGGTGACAACTTGAAAAAATATTACCCGCTGCCACGGTAACCAATTCAATTTTTCAATTTCTTTATTCTCATAAACCACCTTGGTGGTACAAGAGCATATATTGTAAACATATATACAAATACAAATTCAAATTCAAGATGGCAGTTAACAACATTTTTTTCTGACAAGAGATGATAGATGTAGGATATATTTTGATAGATTTACTATGTCTCGAGATGTTTTTACAGATAATATTTTCGTGAACTTTGTTTCATTGGGAAAAGAGGTCAAGTGGGAGGGTAAATATTCTTTCCTCAAAGTATCTAATGCTTTGCAATGAAAAATATAGTGGTATTCATCTGCGATGCTTTTAGAAGTACATAGTTGACACGTTCTCTCGTCCCTTGGAATATTTTTCCAGCGGCCTGTCTCAATAGGTAAACTATGGTTACATGTTCTAAATCTCAATAATGGCAAAGAAATGCGTTTTGGAAGGAGGAGATATACATCAAAATTGGGAAATGGCTTTAGGTGCTGATAGTGTATACCCTTAGGACTAGAAATTATGTCATTGTGCCAGTTTTGGATAAATTGATCTTTAAGAATATGTTCAGCTTTTGAGACCAGCCACTGGGTAGTACAAATTGAGGGATTATCAAAAACAAACGAGAGTCCAGTATTGTCTAATATATTTTTAACGTGTGAGAGCCAGGGATTATGTTTTTTATCTATTGATCTTTTAAGTGATAAATACCTGTAAATTAAGTTCGTAAGCTTAAAAACATCTTCTTGGTAAGTTAACTTGTGCCAAAAGTTTAATAAACGCTTATAAATCATGATTCTAATTGGGAATCTCCCTAGTTCCCCATACAGCATGAAACGAGGGGTTGAATTTCTTAATCCTGTAATGAGTCTTAAGAATTTTAAATGAATTTTCTCCAAAATTTCAAGGTTTTCGAAAGACCAGACTTCTGCACCATAGGTCATGATAGGTACTACCATTAAGTCAAATGCTAACAATAAACAGTCTAAAGGCAAGTCTAATTTTCTAGCTTTTTTCACTAAACTATACATTGCTTTTGAGGCACTATTGCTTACAGTTTTAATACTTGATACGAGTTTTCTATTTCTGTGGAGCGTTATACCGAGGTAGGTATAACTATCAACTATTTCAAGTAATTTCCCATCCAAATGAAATCTATGTTTTGTGCTTTTTGATGGTCCTGCCCCGAATATTACTATTTTAGTTTTGCTTATATTCACTTTTAGCTTCCATGAATCACAATAGTCCTTAAATGAGTCCAAAGCATCTTGTAGTCCTTTGACGATTCATCAAATAATATTGTATCATCTGCATATAATAAAATTAACAACTTTACAAATAGCACCAAATCTTCGTCTTCAATATAGTTTAGATTTACACCATTACAGTCTGAAGTAAGTAAATGAGTTTCAATATCATTTATGAAAATGGAGAATAGTAAAGGTGACAGATTTTCCCTTGTCTGACGCCGTTGTTACATGAGAAGTAGTTTGATACGTCATTATTACATTGTACAAGTGATTTGATATTATTATACATTGATTTGACAAGATTCAGGAATTTGCCCCTATACCAATCGTTTGCATTTTTTTTCCACAATCCCACTCGCCAAACCGTATCAAGAAAGCTTTTGTAAAATCTATAAAGGCACAATAGAGTTTTGTTTCCTATCTTTCAAAATTTGCATCAGATTATAAATTATAAATACATTGTCAACAGTGGAGAATGATTTTCTAAACCCGGCTTGGGCAGGTGTTAAAACATTATTAGTATCCAAGAAATCCTGAAAGGCGGTTGTTTAATATTTTAGTGAACAATTTTCCAAAACAACTAAGTAGAGTTATTGGTCTATATGAGTTAGGATCAAATTTATCGCCTTTTTCTTATAGATCGGTTTAATTATTCCCGTTAACCATGATTCTGGTAAAACACCCTTTTCAAATATGAGATTAAATAGTTCAACTAATAATGGAGCCAGCAAGTCAACACTATCTATAAAATATTCATTTTCTATAAAGTCTATCCCTGATGCCTTACCCCTCTTGAGTTGTTTAATTGCAGAAATAACTTCTTCTTTCACAATGACCCTATCTAAAACATCACATGTAACCTGTATAGCATTGTCAGTATTATCGTTATCTCCTTGTTCACGTTGTGCTGATTCATTTAATGATTTGAAGTGCTCGTAAAATACGTCAATGTCTAAAAAAGAATTGTCATCCTCTTTATTTTGATTACCATTTAAAATTTTCCAAAACTCTTTCGGGTCATGTTTCTGTTTATCTCTCAACATTTTATCTAATTCATCTTTGTAAAGTTTGATATGTTTATCCATGCATTTTTTATAATTCTTAGATTCAAGTCTATAAACGCGTTTGTTATAAACAGATTCATTTTTTTTAAATCGCCGTTTGGCTTTATTGAATCTTTTCCTAGCATTATGACACGCTACACTAAACCACGGTTTAGACTTGTTAACATTTTTCTTCCTTCTTTCAGAGAGACTTTTCTTTTTTGGCAATGGAATAATTTTAGAGGTTTTCCAAAGAATGGGAACACTATGAGAATTAGTTGATGTCTGAAATAGCTTTTGAAATAAGCTAACTTTTTATAATAGATATTTTGCGAAAAGGGTCCAATATAATGCCAGATGCTTTGAATATACTGGCATTTATCTACCTTCATGTAAAATACTTTAATTTCATTGGTCAATGACGCTTTAACAAGCTTCCGTGTCACCCCTCCCAGGAGGGTGACAACTTGAAAAAATATTACCCGCTGCCACGGTAACCGCCGAGCTCTCCGCCGAGAAGCTGAAGCATTAACAATTGTATGACGTCATAATATGACGCGACGCATGCCATGCCCGGAGTTCGAAAACCGTTCGATCAGCGGTTTTTGTGTTCACTTTGTACATATTTATTTTACCGACTTTCAATGCTTTATTTCAGTTATTTTATACATTGAGTGGTTTGCATACTCAACTTAAACATAATTAGCCATTTTATAGCAGTTTTAAGCTTGTCAGACTATGTTTCGCTGATTTTAAAAATCCAGTCGAGAGGCACAGACGCCATTTTGTTTACATGTCATAAAGTCGGTCGCGATCTTTAACATAAAATAAAATGATGTTTTGTACATTTAACATGGCGGTAACGTAAATACGTTGCATGCTTCCGGCTCGGGTGACACTGCTACAAAGAGGCGTACATCAGACCGCATTACCCTCGAGAGAAGCATACAACTTATAGTATCATTGATCCCATTTTGTTCAGGTGAGCAATTGCCCTGCCTTTGCATGTGTTTGTGACGGATGCCACGATGTGCGGGATACGCTCATCTTTCGCGAATTCCTGGTATCATCAATATAAGCAGTGATTTATACAATAATCAGAATAGTACAATAGATTGTGCTTTTATGACACTAGAATGATTTTGACGCTATAATTACAACTTGGTTAACGGCAAAAAAGTATTGCTCAAAGTCTCGTTAACTCGATTCACGTCTTCTGTATTATTTATCATTCACACATACATTTGATGATAATCATCTCTCGTTGTCAACATCGGCTTTGCCCTCTGTCATGACTGAGTGAGTGAGTGAGTTTGGTTTTACGCCGCTTTTAACAATATTCCAGCAATATCACGGCGGTGGACAACAGAAATGGGCTTCACATATTGTACCAATGTGGGGAATCGAACCCGGGTGAGGAATCGAACCCGGGCGTGACGAGCGAACGCTTTAACCATTAGGCTACACCACCGCCCCTCATGATGAGGAAACAGTTGGTTCAGTTTAGATTGCCCTCAGCTAAATGAGTGAGTGAGTTTTAGTTCTACCCCATTTAGCAATATCCAAGCAATATAGCGGGGACACCAGACATGGGCTTCACGCATTGTACCCATGTGGGGAATCGAACACGGGTCTTCGGTGTACCAGAGCGAACACTTTAACCACTAGGCTACTCCGCTGAGATACCATGACACACAGGCACATTATACTTTCTTTTAAGCCGACCATTATCTGATGCACAGGGGTTCGAATATTTGTATATTTTATGTAAGTGTAGCGGGAGAATTTTCTAAAAAATCCATTTCTTCACATTTAACTATTAACTAACATTCATAGTATAGACCTGAATCCAAATAGCTCATGCTGCCATTTTTCCAGGTGAAGACCCCCTTTAACTCCTTGACCAAACCACCTACCTTCGTGATGTTCCTCCACAATGTATACGGGGGTGATATTAGAGAAGGCATGGGTGGGGCTAGCGTGGATGGTGTTGTGGTGTGGCGTTGGGGTGTCCAGACGTCCCAGGCCTGGTTGAAGGGGCTTGGCGATTCTTGCAAGTTCCCCACAGTCAGCGGGCTTCATGGGTTCCGGACAAGGGCCTCGGGCGCGCCACAACAGAAAGGTACACGCTGCCCACAGAACGAGGACCAGGAGAACCAGCTCAAGGGTCCTCAATGGCCGGAATCTCATCTTCTCAGCCGGGATAGTTCCCATCTGAAAGTACAATATTAAAACTGATCACGGATCCAGCTGAAAGCTCAGCTGTTCCAGTAATGGCCAGAGCTCTCACACACCATCAATCTATGAATCTGAATTTCGGAGTACACCTACTGTCACGTAGGCATGACAGCCAGCAACAGATGGACAAAACCGGATGGCAGGAGGACCAAGCTTCCACGTGACCATTTACCTGTATGTGACATGTGAACACTCCCTGATGGGGTTAGTATGACCCGTCTGTGGGTGTAACATGCATCGATAACCGGCAATCTGATTAATGTGAAACACTATGTTACGTGAAGTTTGTGTAAACGTAGAACGTCTATGAAATATTCATGCAAATGGGATTTCATGTTTTCATTCGGAGGAAGTATCAGGCAGGGTCATTTGTACTGGCGGATTATTTAATGAGAATGATTGAGTGGAGTTGAACATTGAATTAACAATATACCTTAAATTATTCTGGTATGCAGTGAAGCGTAACAACAGGTAGCTTTAAACAAAGTGTTTCGTGATCGAGTATATAGTCTTGTCACGTATGTGCTATCATTGTTTACAGGGTTCTGTTAGTAAATAAAATATGAGTAAAATATTGACAGTCAGTTGAGTCAGGGATTGCAACATGTGAAGGTAGGGTCTTCACCATCATTTCGGGTGCACTCTAAGTCCTAATGAAGAGATATCATAAAGCGTATATGCAAGAAATCATTAGCATCGAGACTCGCATTTCCGATAGAAATTATGCCTCCCTTAACTAACGAAAGAGATTTCACTCGGCGTAAATGGCTAAGAGACTTATATGAATCGGCCACTGACAATCAGTGATGAGACCAGGTGTTTTAGAGAGGGTACACATGCGCTGCTGTACTTGTAGCATCTGTCACTGACACTATTGGCATATAAAATAAACGTTTAACTATTGCTCGACGCCGCACGTACAGAGAAGTCAGTGTATTGTTTTACCTATTTTTACCTGTTAACGAAAGTATGTGTGAGACCATAAAGAAAATCCCGACTAAAAATTCAAAGATGATATATCGCAACATATTTCTGAGATATTTAAGCAAGTGTAGGTATACACCAAAATGAATAAACATGAATAATGAATAATAAAGATTTACAAATATTTTTGATATACCAGACCCCTTAGCCTAAGTTCGAACCTCCTTCAAAGAAACAGGTCTGATGATACAAACATTTGATATATTTTACTTACGTTAATTATGTTGTGAGAAACATATTTATACATTAAGGAAACATGTTTCGTATACACCCATTACTTGCTATTTAGATAGAAATCGAGATCAATATAGTTAAGTTTGCTATGAGGTGAAGGGAAAGAAGATGGGACATCATGGATGAATGAATGACTTGAACATATTTGTAGGTGGAGGCATGTCGCGTTGCTCGTAGTTAGTACTACAATGTACGTATTATCTTGATGACATCGTCGACCTTTACAAAAATAGTAAATTTTGCAATACTAAAGCCCCTTCACACAAACACAACGTGGATGTGTTCATTGGCAGAGCACACCCGTGAAGATCCGGGTGAGAATTGATCTTCAGCAACCCATGCTTGTCGTAAAAGGCGACTAACGGGATCGGGTGGTCAGGCTCGCTGACTTGGTTCACACATGTCATCATATCCCAGTTGTGTAGATCGATACTCATGCTGTTGATCACTGGATTGTCTGGTCCAGACTCGATTATTTACAGACCGCCGCTGGAATATTGTTGAGTTCAGCGTTAAACAACAACTAAACTAAACCATAAACCTGGGTTCGAATCCCACTGAGCCCCGATTATGTTCCAAGTTTGGTAGGACTATGCTCGTGGGTTTCACCCGTGTGGTAAACATCTGATACTTGCATCACCTTAGGGGTTCCCTCCTACATTAAGCTGTCATGCAGGAATATCACTGGAAACAAAATCCACATTCACAAGCTTGGAAATTCCAATTTTGGAAAGATGATGTTGTGGTCGAAGTAACAATAATATTGTAAGTAGTATTATATTGACACCCACCTCGCTTCCACGAGAGAAATTGTTATGTTATGAGCTATGTCATGCAAAATCCTATTGGCCATCAATCAAATACATATTTTACTACCAGTAGAAAGTAGTTTTGATTACAAACCTAAATAGCATTTATCCTAACCAGGGAGACTATATAAGGTTGTAGAGTATCCCTGTTCTAACAGACTTTAGCCCGTGACTTCACGATTTTCAAAAATGGCGGCACCCTGTCGAGAACATCCGCCAATCTGAGTATAAATGCTATTTAGGTTTGTTTTCACCGAGTTACGAAATCAAAACTACTTTCTACTGGTAGTAAAATATGTATTTGATTGATGGTCAATAGGATTTTGCATGACATAGCGTATAACATAACAATTTCTCTCGTTGAAGCGAGGTGGGTGTCAATATAATACTACTTACAGTATTATTGTTACTTCGACCATAACCTCGCTTCCGAGGAAGAAATCGTTATGTTACAAGTTGTGTCATGGAAAATCTTTATGGTCATCAATCATATACATATTTTACTACGACTAGTAAGTAGTTTTGATTCTTTAACTTCCGTGAAGCGATCTGAACACAAGTAAGATATCGTTTCAGGCTTCCACAACGCTCGCTTCGCACTCACAAACATAACCCATTTTGCACGAACTGCGGGTCCTGTGGAAATCTGTGCATGGCGACACCATCGCCCGACCTCTAGGAGCAATTGACGACAACGCAATGATTTGGCATGTCTTCGTTGATGTCGAGAAATCATCAAAATGACGAGCTTGCTACACACTTTCTATACAACTAACTGAAAATCCTTCCTCACATGACGTCACTGCAGTGCTCTGGCGACAGAGTTACGTAACCTGTCTGTGGTTTCGTTGGCGGGCGAGAGTGAAGCAGGCGACTTTTTGGCAACTTTTAATCGCTCGGTACTAATTAACCACAAGTTTTTAAAGAATGAATTTGGTGTTCACCATAAGACTGACCACAAATCTTTCATATGTAATAGTTAAAAGAGTAAAAATAAACAAAGTTTAGTGGTTCTTTAAAGGTCACATGCAACATAAAAAATCAAACATAACTAAAACACAGTTATCACTTATTTATGACATATAATATACATTGCTGATCATGAAAAAACATATAAACAAAATTAAAAGCGTACAATCGCCAATCAAAAGTGCAATATTTTGTACTTGGGTTTACTTCCCTAGAAACGTAGCAGCCGGGATACCGAACCCAGTCAGAGCGGGTGGGTGTGCACTCAAGTGTAACGGCTGGTTCATTTGCCGATGCCCACACGGCTCATTGTGTGTGTATATATAGAGATGTTAGGTTTTGTAAATACGGTGTCGTACCGGGAAGGCTAAAATGTATTTTTCAGATGTCCCGGGAAGGCTAAAATGTATATTTCGGATTTCCCGGGAGAGCTAATTAGGGGAGTACCGCTAAAGATACGGTGCCGGGAAACATAATCCATGACGGGAGTAGATACATTTCTTTTCAAAACATTGTTATAATAGAGTATTTATCAGAACAGAATAGAACATAGACTTTATTAAGACTTGAACCAGTCTTCTATTCGATTAAGATTTAAAGATAAACAATGGACACATATTATTTCTTCCCTAGGTACATTATGGTATCTTCCAACTTCAATATGTAGCAGGCATCTTTATCTTCTTCGCTTGTTTAGACCTGTATTTAAGTGGCGTTTTTATTTCAGATGTATTCAATTCGAAAAACATTGCTATAATATTTAAGTTGCAAACTGACACCGAACTATCGTACACATATTCGTGATGGCAGGTGCGCAGGTTAGAGTTAACTTAATCCTGAAGGGCCTTGTGAACAACATCATCGGGGACATCGCCTACACAGACCACGTGTCTGAACTTCTAAAATTGTCTTAAGCTCCACGTAGATTGACAGAAATGTGATTTACTATGGATAATGACAATTTAATGTCGAATTCAAGAAAATGTATAGTGAAAATGAAAACGTATAGCTGTATTATTATTTTTGTATGTGCCCAAATTAAAGAGCGTCCACGTTAATCCTGTTTTCTTTGTAATTTGTCAGAGCCTCCGAGTGAGGCGCCCCGTGTTCATTTAACCATAACATTGCATTGCAAGTACCGCCAAGGCTACGCTCATTGAACAGAGAAGCGTCACGATTTTCGCCTTCCCGGCAATGAACCGTAAATACAAGCTCATTTTCTTGTGTATAACAATTTGCAATCAACAGACATCATAACATGTCATGTGTACAAGTATCACACCTGCCTGTCTGTGTAATTACATAATGTGACAGAGACCGAACTCGGGCCATAAATCAATGCGTTTTGTTTATGGTGTATAGCCTGATAGGTGTTAAGTTCAAATTGCATGTGGTCAGTGATCGAAGTTGTGTATTGAATATTGTCATTTGCAGACAGGCAGGCAGACGCATAGGTGTCAATAAAACCGACACTGAGTTTTGTCTGTGACAACGACATATCTGTGTCACAGTTAGATATTCTGTCAACGCTAAATAATGACATTGCTTTTAAGTATCGAACTGAGAAAGTGACTCGGTAAGAAGAAAGTGTGGTGAAATAGACAAATGAAATTATATAAACAGTTAAATCGGTAATCTACTGGTATAACATATAAAAAGCTCGCGCCTGTGAAATATCAACAAAACATTAATAAAATTTTTTAGCTCACACCAAAGCCTTCACCGAGTATTCACCGGACAACCCGCTGCGCGAACCTATTTCACTGCGCATGTGCTATGAGCGCAGCCCAGCTGTTGAAACCACTTTTCCCCTAAGCGCTGGGGAAAAATTATTGAATCGTTTGAACTCCGATTTCGCGCGGTTTTTTTCATCGCGTTATTTTTCACTTATATAAGTTGAATTTGCATTTTTGATAATTTGTTTGGGTAAGTCCATACCAAAAGGTATCAGAATCTGCAAAGTTGTGTTTTACGTTGCATGTGACCTTTAACATAACTTTAGGAATACTTCTTACCTTTTCTTAAAACATATTCCTCATTTTGTTACAATTTATTTGAGATTTGATTTTCCTTGACTTCGTTGTGTACTGGTCCGTGGCTGTGGTCTCCAGGGGCCCGTTTCACACAGCCCTCTTACCGGTACGACCTCGTAAAGCAGGTCGTAGACC